CACAGAGTGATCTATAGATTCAACACAACGTGATCTGTAGATTCCAATAGCATTTTTTTTTTTTTTTTTTTTTTTTTTTTTTTTTTTTTTTTGCAGAAATGGAAAAGCTGATCCTCAAATTCATGTGATACTGCAAGGGGCTCCAAATAGCCAAAATAACCTTGAAAAAGAACCAAATTGGAGGATCCACTTCGCCTGACTTTGAAAAACTACAAAACTATAGTAAAAAAAAACCCACTGTGGTACTAGTATAAGAACAGACATATAGACCAATAGAATAGAATAGAGAGTCCAGAAATAAACCCTCACGTATATGGTTAATTGATTTGCCAAAAGGATGCCAAGACAAAGGGGGAAAGGACACCATTTCAACAAGTGGTGCTGGGAAAACTGGATATTACATGCAAAAGAATGAAATTACACCACATACAAAAATTAAAGTGTATCAAAGACCTAAACAAGATCTAAAACCATAAAACTCTTAGAAGAAAACATTGAAGAAAATCTTTATGACATTGGATTTGGCAACAGTTTCATGTATATGACATCAGAAGCACAGGCAACAAAAGAAAAAATAGGTAAATTGGATTTCATCAAAATTAGCTGTACAAACCCCTAACAGGATACACCCAAAGAAATTCAAGTCCAGACACAATGTAATCAAACTTCAGAAATCTAAAGACAAGGAAAATGTTTTGAAAGCAGCTAGAGAGAAACAGCATATCACATATAGAGAAACAACTCAGATGACCTTGGATTTCTTACCAGAAACCGTGAAAATCATTTGCAAGTGGCGCAAAGTTTATCAGGTAACTGATGAAAGCAAAGAACTGTTAATTCAGAATTCTATGCCAGTAAAAATATCCTTTAGAATGGAAGGTAAAATCAGCATATTCTCAAATGAAGGAAAATTAAGAGAATTGTCACTGGCACACCAACCCTAAAGTGATGGCTAAAGGAAGTTCTACAAACAGATAAGAAACTGTAAAAGCAGGAATCAGGAGCCTGCTTAATATTCTCTCTCTTTCACCCTCTGTCCCTATCCTCCATTCTCATTCTCTCTCTCTCCCTCTCTCTCGGAGGAAAAAAAAAAAAGAAGAAGAAGAAGCTTGACAAATATGGCTGGACTGCCAGCCACACAGTTGAATAGGAAACAAAACTCTGAAGCACATAAGTCGGGGTACTGGACCTGGCAAGTCCTGGCAAATAGACTGAATGGATTCCCTACCTTCATATGAAGAATACTGCTGGGCATAGACTACAGTAGACATCCTTTCAGGATATGGCACTACCATTTTCCACAAGGCATATGTGGACAATACCATTCAAAGATTCTTAGATGACCTATGTTCCATATTTAGCTTCCCCAAACACTCCCAATAAGATAATAGTGGTACTTTTATAGATAAAAGTACAACAGTGGACAACTACCTGGGACATTAGCTGGACCTTTCATGACCTTTATCATCCCCAAGAAGCAGGTGCTGTTAAAAGAAAGAGTGAACTCTGAAAAACTGAAAAAGATAGTTGGACAATCAAGCCTAAGCTTTTAGTGGTGTACAAATTAAGATAGTCTGTTAGGGTTCCAAATGTGATAATTACCTAAAAGAGTACCTCCCATTCAAGCATAATGTCTAATTATGAGGTTCAAGAGTGGAAGAAAGCCCTAACTGGCTGCAGGAAACCCAAACCACATAATAACCCATATAACTCTATTTTTTCCCTCCTATGCCTATCCCTGGAAAACTGGACTACTAGAATTTGAAAGTAGGAAAAAAGAGCTGGGGACTTGGGAGACTGGAACTTAGTGTATCCCCTCATCCCACCTATGCTTGCTGGATTTGGACAATTATAGATAATGATCATAATGATCATGAATTATAAGGTGAAAACTACTAAGGTGTTTTGGCATGGCCCACATGTCAGGGGGTGGGAGATATTCTAGAATGTTCCAAATTATAAAAGAAAGGAACTTCTGAGCTAACTAGGGATGAGTCTAAGCATATGGTGTGGGTTAGATATGGAGAGAATTGGGGGAAAGGTGCAGTGATTGTTGCAGAGACAAGTCGTAATTGTCATATGGCTGTGTAAGGAGAGAGACAACCCTGGTTGGTAAGAATTAGACCCTGGGAAATCAGGGGCAGAGGGAGGGACCATGAATCTCTTAGCTTTTGTCTGTAGGATATCTTACGAACTTAACCCAAGCTTCCACCATCACCACCCTCAATTTGACTACTGACCAACAAAACAATCCTAATTTAAAGACTCTCAGAATCTCCCAACAGCCACTGACTCCAGAAAGAAATACTCTCAGCAAGAAACAACAGAATAAGATGAACTTTCTGGACATTGAAATGCCTCCCTTTAGCCTTATCCTGTTATTGTTGGACTTTTTGTACATTTTTCACAGACTACTGATTGTTCTAAATTCTCTAGCATGAGTGGTAATGGAGATTGTACTAACTGGATTGTTTGCTGGCCAATTTAGGTGGGGTATGTGCCACTTGCCTCACTTAGAATAATGACACGTTTAGCTGTCTTGGCTCTGCATGAGGAGCCTGACTATGGTCCATTCTCTAGTGGGCCTGGTTCTACTACTGTGTATCACTATCACGGTCACTTTCGTCTAATGTTGCCTAAGACAAATGGAATGTATTTGATCCAGGCCTTTAGCATTACAACTAATTAGAGCATCTGATGACTTACATGGTGGCTCATGTTCCTGAGAATCTTTATGTGTAAAAGTTGAGAGGTCTAGTTGTAGGGGAATGGCTCCACCGTCGTGCCCTGGCAAGTTTTCACATATTTATATAGTCCATGCAGGCAAAGCCTTGAACTACAGCTACTCTGAGCCATGGCAGATCACCTTGTGATCCTTCTAGAACATGAGAGGATGAGAGGAGCTTTATTGGCCTTCAAGCCCATCTCCCACTCCCTTCCCTGTCTCTTATGGGAGGCTGTCATGAGACAATTTCTCATTGCTTCTAAGATTCTGAAGAGGCATGAGGCTTTCTGGATGTAACTGCATACTGTAACTGCTTAGCTATAGTCTAAAATTGGCTCCTCACCACAGGTGTTGCTGTCATCGAGCCCCCTTTTGTTTTGGTGTCATTGTGTTTGGTGTATGGGACAAGGAGCTGGAGACCGGCATGCTTGGGTACTCTTTCTTCCTTTTGCTGTTTGTGTAAGTAATACATTGTATGAATCTAAAAGTGGCTTATTGTATCTACTGGCTGAGTCACTTAGGACATGGCCTTGACCTTGCCTGCTGCTGTGTGTTTAACAGGAAGAACAATAGAAACAGTAAAAGTATATGGGTAAATATGACAGACTATCCCTCTCCTCTTTAGTTTTGAATCAAAACACTGGTCAGAGCCATAAGAGACCTTCCTTATGGTCTTCCTTAAGACCATGACTTAATAATCAGGTATCTGAGGGCTCCTTGTTCTGAGCCAAAACTCCCATAATTGTTTCGCACTCAGTGCAGTTTTCTCCATTTTTTCCAAAGAAAATCATGGGAGCATTTGTTGTGTGCTCATCTTTCCTAGTGATCTGTCCTAGGGTAAGGCTCACTGCTTCCTTCTCAGTGCTCGTGGACTATTCACTAGTGTCCATTTGTGAGCTTCTTCTGGATCCTCTTAGAAACAAATAAACATACCTTGGAGCTCATCTGAGGTCTCCTTTGTTCTGTGATTTTTCACAAGTATGTTATCTGTAAGCTTTCAGTACCTGGGGACCTAAAAGGAATATGAGCCTCTAGGCTGGAATTTCTGTGAAGCAGACATCTTCCTAATTTGTTCATCCCAAGAGACTACATGTACAAATGGAAAGTGGACAGACCATATAGAAAAATATAACTCTGACCCGCAGTCTGTAACAACCAGTCCAGGAAGCCAACCCATTATCTGTAGTTACCAGTCTGGGAAGTCAAACTAGTATCTGTGGCAAATAGTTCGGGAAGCCAAAAGAAACCCTGTAGCAGTCAGCCCCACACGGCCAGAATTTGATTAATATCCTCTCCCAACCAATCACATAAGATGCTTTGCTTCTGGTTAGCCCCCCAGGCCAACAATCTCCAATCAGAGCATACCTGAAGTCTCTTCCCTGCCCCCCCCCCCCCAACTATAAAGCTTTCTCACTTCTCTGCCTGACTTAAAGCCTACCAAATGCAAGTGATGGTGGTTGACTCCCTTGCTTAGAGCAAGCTCTGAATAAACAGCCTTTGCTTGCTCTCATGTTGGTGGTCTTTTATTTCCACAATTTCATTTAAAGGTTTAACTTCCCCGACATGCTATGTGATGTTAGATAAGCCATCTCCTCTCTTTGGGCCTTACTTTCTTCAACTGAAAAATTGTTTCAACATTTATTCATTCCTTTATTCGACAGATATTCCTTGGCACTTAAAGAAGCTGGGCCATAAGAGTTGCTAGACGTTGGGTGAATATTCGAGGCACAAAGTTGATCAAGGACGTTAGTTGCTCTCTGGGAATGTAGAACCCAGTAAAGGGATGCGGCTATGTGAAGTATTTGCTGCTTCATATTAGCATCCGTCCTACAAGGGTGCAGTGCAATACCGAAGAAGAGTGGTCAGTGGGAAGAAGAGGGCTGGGAAAGGATTCCCAGACAAAGCCTCCCCCCCACGCCCGCTTCCCCGCATTGCCACAGCAGCTCCCTGAGGCAGTCGGTGTCTGTGGGAGAGCTGGACTCGCTCTGCCCTCCCTGTTTCTTTGCGGGGCCAGAAGGGAGGACCACAGAGACGTGGCGCCCTCCACCGTCCTAGAGAAGCCAGAGTGGCAAGAGTGCAGCAGCCTCCACCTCTCCGGTGCGGAGCGTGGGGAGCTGAGCGTGGGACTGGCCGGGGCGTGGAGCCTGGGGCTTGCGCGCCCGACTCCTGGGCCGCTATATCAGGCCCGCCCCGGTCCGGAGCGTCCCTTCCCGACCCCGGGCAGCCCCCAGTAAGGCCTGGCGCGCGCTCGCTTCCCGGGAGGGCGGCCCTGGCCATGGCGGCCGCGGCCCTGGCGGGCGGCGCCCCCTTCGGCCCTGCACTCGAGCTGCTGCCGGGACTGCGCGCGCCGGCCCGGGCGCGCCCGGTGAGTGCGGGGCCGGTGCTACGAAGCTGGCTCGGCCCTGCCCGGTGCTCTAGGTCCAGAGAAGGGGCGGAGGGGGCAGTGCGGCGGCCGGGAAATCGGGGTACAGCCCAGAGTGGAGGGTCCGGAGGAACAGGCAGGGAGCAGAATGAATTCGACATCCCCCAGACTTGCGCCAGCCGGGGAAACACACGTGCGGCTGCACAGGCATGAACCAAATGCTGGGGAGGAGGTGTTCACAGAGTGCTGTGCGCAGCGACGAATGTCCAGAATTTCCATATCACTGGTTTTAAGAGAGCTGGTTATGTTTGAGGTGGGTCTTGAGATGAATACGAGGTTGCTGGCGCTGGAGGGAGGAACTGGATCTCCAGGCAGGGGGGGAGGGGGGCTGCAGGTGCAATGGCACAGATTGCAGGTGCAATTTGGGCAAGGAAAGGGTTTGGATTCATAACAGGATGGTGACAGGATAGGGGATGAGGGTGGTGGTGCAGGAGATGATCTTTGGCATGTAAACTGGGTCTCTGAATAGTGAATGGAATGGTCTGCGTGCAGAGGATTTGGACATTTTGAGGTAGGTGAGGGTGATCCGGCCCCCCAGTCTGAGCCCTGGAGTGTCGGGTAAGTCTCTGTGGGGACTTTGTAGGGCAAGGACTGATGTGAAATGGAACAGAGTCAGCCCCTCTATAGTATGGAGATTGAGATCCTAAATGAGGCAGTGGCTGGGAATTATAAGTAAGTCTTGATGGCTCTCCATTAGCACTGTTTATGTTTCTTATGGAGGAAAGTGAGAGAGAAGGTGCAGAAGGTTGGGCCTCCCAGAGATACAGGAAAAGGGGACATTAAGACTGGGAAGTGGGGAAGAAAGAGTAGGGTGGGGTGTTTTGGAGAGTGTGTTGGAGGGGCAGAGTGCAGGGAGCAAAGTCAGTTTGGATCTGCCTTTTGAAGTCCAGCCTCCAGAGCAACCTGCGTGTTCTCAGGTGCCCTTAGCTGCCTCTTTGACTAGTGGCAGTGACAGGAAGGAAGAGAAGAGAAAGAATCTCACACAGGGGCAGCAGGGGTGGCAGGAGTGAGGATAGAAGGCAGTGTGGTACAGTAAGTAAGAGCCAGAGAGTCAGACAGGCCTGACTTCTGTCTCAGTTCTGTAACTCTGAGCCTCGGTTTCCTCTTCTATAAAGTGAATCTGATACCCTCCTCATAGGCTGTGAAGCGTACAAAGTAATATATGTAAAGTTCTTGGCACGGGCTCAAATGGGTAAATGGTGATTGTACTTGTTATGAAGGGTTGGTGACCTCTGGAGGAGGGTACATTGTGGAGAAAGGATGGCACCTAGGGCACACATAGTTGTTCTGGGCACAGGATGGAAAGGGGAAGCTTGCAGAGACTCATGAAAAAGGTGATGTGGTGAAGTTAAGATGAAGGGATGTGAGAAATTGATGACTGATCCCTCATATCTTTGTAAGTAGGAGACGCAGATCTGCTGAGAGTTCCCTTAGACATTCAGAATGCAGAAACTCAATGGGCATCCCCTCCAGTACCACTTGGTGCCTCATCTGCCCTACTGTAGGCCTGGGTCTGGAATTGTCCGAGGGCATTTAAACACCTGTTGTTTCAGGATTCAGTGACCTTCGAGGATGTGGCCGTCTACTTCTCTGAGAACGAATGGATCGGCCTGGCCCCTGCTCAGAGGGTCCTGTACAGGGACGTGATGCTGGAGAATTATGGGGTTGTGGCTTCCCTGGGTAAGGGTCTTTCCTTTTGGACTCTGCTTCTGCCCTCCAGAGTTCCCCGGCTCCTCCTTCCTCAGAAGCTCTGGAGTCTTTGATAAGCCTCACCTGAGTGGCAACTTCAGACTCTTGGATTCTTAATGAGCCAGCCTCAGCAGTTGCTAAGAAGTGGGAAGTCCTGGTGTAAATTTGGGCCTCACATCAGCCTTTCTTGCCCCAGAGTGGGAGCTAACTCTCAACTCCTGTGCTAATGGGTACAGTAGGAAGAGAACAGATTCCTGGTGTCCCACCAAACCCTCAGTTTCCCACCCGCTTAGTTTGGGAGACCCAGCCCAATACCAAGCATCCTGATGCAGATGTCTGAACTTGAGAGCTCTAAGAGAGGGAGAGAACAAAAAAGCTCAATCTCTCAATGAGTGGAATCATCCGTTCGCTCACTCAAACTGTTGTTGAGCACCTCTCGGTCTAATTCCTGACCTTTGTCAGCCTCCTGGCCCTGCTGCCCTGGGTCTCCTGACCCTTCCCCTGGACTTTCTTTTCTCGCTTTCCCTGGTTAATTCCCTTCTTTCCCTTCCTGCCCCTGAAGACAAAGCCTGGGAGGAGCCTTGGGATTGCTCTATGTCACCCCACTCACCTGCCTGTCCCATTTCCTCCCCCTCAACCAGCATTTCCATTTCCCAAACCGGCTCTGATTTCCCAGCTGGAGCGAGGGGAAGCGCCCTGGTGCAAGGCTCCTCAGGGAGCTCTGGATGGAGAGTGCCCGAGGGGCGTCTCCACAGGTGAGTGAGGGTACATGTGCCAGTCATCTGACCAGTTCCCTTGTCTTGATCTTTACAGTGTAGTAGGTATGTGTTCTCTTAACCTAGTGCTATAGACACCAGTGGGATTCCTCTCCTCCCCCCCTTTTTTCCTGTGTCCCCATGGTTTTCCCTCTTCTTGAGTCTGTTCACCCTGGCTCCTTTTCATTTACCTCTTTTGCCTCTTCCTCATTTCCACTGTTCTTATCATGGCCACCATTTATCTGTACTCCCTGACTTTTCTGTTTACACTCTGAGGTGGCCTTTCTACTTTCTCAGCCTGCTTATCATCTTCCAGAAGAAGATTCTGACTGCCCTTTGGGCTATCATGGTCATCTTTATCATTAGAAATCAAGAAGTCTCAATAATTCTGAGCCGTATACTTCCAATTCAGGGATTTCTGGTGGGCAAAGCCCTGGCATTCCTTTAGGAACATAGGGCTTTCCTGTTCCTAATTTGCTAGTGACAGCTATGCCCCTTATTGCCTCCCTCGCACCATTCCATCTTCTTCCCACAGGAGCTCTTCTGTGGGCACAGTGGAACTTGAGCTGTGCCCTCAACTTCCTTGTTCTCACAGTTCCTTGCTGTGTCTGGCTGTCTTTCCAGAGTCTTAGGATATCCTTGATTATAAGTAACAACCCAGTTCAAACTGGCTTGAACAAAAAAGGAATTTGCTATTTCATGTAAGTAGGAAGTTCATAGATAGAGTCAGTTTCAGTCTCTGCTCTTTCTTGTCTCCTTATATGCTGCCTTTGCCTACAGCCTGGCTCCTCTCGTGGCTGTAAGGTGATTGGTAGTTGTAACCAAGGCTCTGCTGCTTCGTACCTAGGGAGGGAAATAGGGCAGGCCTCCCTCAGGCCTTTGGGATGTACCATCTTAAGTCTTATGCCAGCTCTAAACCAATCACTATGGCCAGGGAAATAGCATGCACTGATTGTCTTGGCTTAGACTGCCGATTTCTGAAACTGTCTCTCGTGTAGTGAGTAGGGCGGGCTAACCTGCTTGTCTTAGACCAGTAAGGGGTACACTAGGAACTGGAGTTGGGATCGCTCTCCCCCAAAAGGCAGGGCTCTCCATAATGGGCAGGGTGGGGGTAGGGGTTGGTGGTGCTGGTAGAATGGATGTAGAGAGACAACTACACTGTCCTCTGCACTCTCTCAGGATCTCAGTGCTTACTCTCCCACCACCCAAAGGAATTTCTTGTCTTTGCTTTAGGCAGAAAACCAACAGCTAAGTCATTCCTTGAGTAAAACCCTAACTCCCTGACCTGCAGCAAACTTCCTTTGAGGACATGTCCCTATTCAAAGTCCATTTTTGTCTTAAAGAAAAGAATACTCAGGGGACACACAGTCCTTGGCTTCAGCAATATAAAAGAGTGTCATTTGGGGGATGAAAAATTGATCTGTTTCTTAGAAGGCATCGGATGGGAGTTATGAAGAGACCAATCTTAGCTAAGCCTGAAGAAGAGTTTATTAGAGTGGACCTTTGCAATTGAGGTGTCTGTCATTAGAATAAGAAGTGACTTCTGGAAATGGCTGAGTGAAGGCTGTGAGGCCATTTCTAATGGATGCCATGGAGAGATCCATCATTGATCGTTTGTAGAAAGAGAAGGCAATAGATGGACAGACGGGAAGGAAGCTAAGCTTAGAGGCTGTGGTTTCCCAACATAGCCTCAGGAATAGTTCTTTGCAGTTCAAGCCTTTCCTAATTCTATTCCATGTGAACTGGAGTTCACCTCCTAGGGGAGGGGAAGAAGAAAACTTAGTCCCCTATTTTTTCTTGACACTTAAAAATGAGTGATGCGTTTTCATGTTTTAGGGAACTGATGGAATCGCATCTTCCCTGAAGGTCTGTTTTCTGTCCTTTATATTGTTAACCTCCTCCTGTGTACCGATCTCTCCACCCACCTTCATTCTCCCTTACCACTTCCATCTCTGCTCCTTTCTTCATGGGCCCCACTCCTCTCACTGAGCTAGCCTTATTTATATCTTGACCCGGGCAGGATATCCATTTCTGAAGCCTGCTGCGATCTCCCATCTTGAACAGGTGGAAGAGCCGTTGAACCTGAAACTGCAAGGAGAGGGTCCAAGCCTAATCTGTACTGGTAAGTGAGGGGAATGAACACTTTTCTCCCAGGCACATGTTTTCCTCTGTCTTTCCTTTGTAAAATGTTAAAATTCCATTTTACCACGTACATTCTAAATAAAAGACCCTCTCATCTTTTGGGATGAGCACTGGGTGGTGCATGGAAACTAATTTGACAATAAATTTCATATACTAAAATAAATAAATAACCCTCTAAAAATCCCCAAGTCAACCATAAGAGGAAAGTTAAACTTTAAGCTTCCAGCTTCATTTGGTCATCATCAATTATAATTAAATTCGGGTGTGTTGGATCGTAGGCTGTAACTGAACAGATGGCCTACTGGTCGCTATGGCCAACCAGTATTTTAAAAGAAAATGCTGTGTTTTATTCATTCTGTTAGTTTTTAAGGTGTGATACTGAAACAGAAGTGTGGATAAAACACTATGGGAACAAAGAGGAGGCAGTCTTTGCCCAGTTGTGTATAAAGTAGTTTGGGGAATCCCTTTTCATGGTGGACCTGGTGACTGGATTGAATGAAAAGACCACATTTCCTTTTAGTGTTGACAAGTATGAGAAAGATTCTCCTTATTGTTCCCCACTGTGTGTGACAAGTTCAGGTTCCTCAGGTATACCGCAAAGGATTCTTTATTTCTGAACATGTTGTTTCTCATGTTATAAACTAGACTACCTAGAAGAAATTCTTACTTGTCTCCCTTAGATTCAATTAAACTATTCCTGGAGAGCTCCCTCTGTGCTTGGTCTGGTGCCTGGGAATCCTAGCCCTCAGGGACTCTGTCTAGTTTCTGCCTTTCTGTAGCATAAACTTTGGTTGCTTTCAGTGTGTTCGCCCTGTGGTGCCATTTTCAGCTAGGACAGGGCCACTGGGACATAGAGGTAACACTTGAAGTGCAATGGACGTATGAGTACCACTTGGTGATGCTATTTGCCCCATTATGGGTAATGATGACATTTGCAGCTTTGATTTCTTCTTTCAGAGGGTGTGTTGAAGAGTGAGAAAGAAGATTTTATTCTGAAGGAGGAAGGTTTTGAGGAGGCAAAAGACCACATGGTGCTGTCAAGTGGACCCCGGTGGTGTGGTTCCCAGGAATTCTGGTTTGGGAAAACCTGTGAGGAGGGAAAAAGCAGGTTAGGGAGGTGGCGCAACTACTCCAATGGGAAAAGTGTGGAGAACACTGCAAATGATGTTATAGAAGTGATTGTCAAAGATGAGATGATCTCAGGAGAAGATGGTTCAGAGAATACTGATGTTAATACTCACCTTGTTATACATGAGAAGATTCTCAGTGAGCAGGTGTTCTGTATATGTGAAGAATGTGGCAAGTGTTTTGATCAAACTGAAGACTTTGACCAACATCAGAGAGTTCATAATGGAGAGAAGATCTATGGTTGTAAGGAATGTGGGAAGACTTTCAGTTTTAGATCACATTGCCTTGCACATCAGAGAATTCACACTGGGGTGAAACCCTATGTGTGTCAAGAATGTGCTAAAGCCTTTGTTTGGAAGTCAAACCTGATTCGGCACCAGAGAATACATACTGGAGAGAAGCCCTTTGAATGTAAGGAATGTGGGAAGGGCTTTAGTCAGAACACAAGCCTTACACAACATCAGCGAATCCATACTGGAGAAAAACCATATACTTGTAAGGAATGTGGGAAAAGCTTTACTCGGAACCCAGCCCTGCTTCGACATCAGAGAATCCACACTGGGGAGAAGCCTTATGAATGTAAGGACTGTGGAAAAGGTTTCATGTGGAACTCAGATCTTGCTCAGCACCAGAGGGTCCACACGGGGGAGAAGCCCCATGAATGTACTGACTGTGGGAAAAGCTTCATTTGCAAGGCACACCTTATCCGACATCAGAGAATCCATACTGGGGAAAGGCCCTATAAATGTAATGATTGTGGGAAGGCCTTCAGTCAGAATTCTGTTTTGATTAAGCACCACAGGCGCCATGCTAGAGAGAAACCCTGTAATTATCACACCTCTCACCTTCTTGAACATTAGAGAAGGCATAAGGGTGATGCTTGTTTATAATTCTTATGCTACAGGAGCCCCAGAGACAAAACGAGATGACTGTCCACGGTTTGTTATAACTCTAATAGTCAGTATTATCTTGCCCCTTCTGAACAGATACCCTGTACTCTAGCAAGATGGTCCCACTGTTCAACCATGTTTGTGCTAGGCAACTTTTAGTTGAGCATCTGCTCTGTCAGGCACTTGCTAACCACTTTACATACATTCTTTTGTTTTCCTTAATCCTGTTAAGGTAGGTACTTGTCCTCATTTTACTAATGAGAAGTCTGAGGTTGAAAGAAGTTGTAAAACTCATTCAAGGTTACTCAGCTGATATGTTACAGAATAGAGCTTGAAATCAGGCCTATCTGACTCCAGAGTTTTCTGTTCTTTATTTGTACACATTTCTGCTTCTGTTCATTTCTATTTGCTCAAGTTTCCCTGGGCTACAAATTTCCCTTCCTCATCTAAGACCCAGCTCCTTTAACTGAACAGACCCCTGTTCCTCTTCTACTTGTAGTCGGTACTGTCCACATTGGTATTTAACTATGTGCTGTCTTATATTTTTCTAATGTCTCACGTGTGTTAGTCCAGCTAAATGGCTCTTTGAGGACCAACACTATTTCTTTTATGTTTTTCAAATTCTGAAACTTAACTTATTTTTTACTAGATATAACATGCTCATGATAAAAAAAAGTTGAAATAGTTCAAAAAGGTGTTCATTGAAAAGTAAATCTTGTCACTCCTGTCTCCCAGTCTACCTCCTTAGAGACCATCACTGTTACTGGCTGTGTGTCTTCCTGGGCATATTCTTTCTATATACAAGTGCTTATTAATACTGCTTTCAACAGTCTACCTCACTGAAAACCATTTGATGTAGATGATAGTGCAGTTACATTGCCAACTCCAGAACTTTCTCTTCCTCAGAAGTTGTGGTCTACTTTGAGATCACCAAGATGACTTAAGCAAAGTAACAGAGTAGTCTGGGTTATGCACTTGTGGGAGACCTGAATGCCCTTGTGTTATAAGATAGGAATCTGGGACTAGGAAAATGTAAACCAAGTGGGAGATTTTTGTTTCCATAAAAATTTGTATAGCTATAACCTCTCTGATTGCTCTACTATCCCAAATCCCCTTCCAGCCTGTCCCTTCTCATCACCATGATAGCCCACATCCCAGAGTAAGCTATATTATTAGAGAATGCTATTGACCACCTTCAAGGGTTAGAGAAACAAAGGCCCTATTCAGAGGAGAGCACTGGCCAAAACAGATGAAACGTACATTCCAGACTTCACCTTTAGAACCATTTTCAGATTGCATTTTGCCTCTCTGCTAATTAGGCATTCTGCTTTAGAAGCTCCTAGCCAGGTAATATAATTGTTGACTAAGGAGCAAGGAAGAGAAGCCAGAGGCTGGCTTGGACTAAACTTCTGGTTCCTGAAAATTACAAACATTAATTCTAGAGCCCCTGATTGCTGACGTAGTAGGGAGAACTTGGCCTCGCATAGTCTAGTTAGGGTGCCTCTACTAAGTAGGAAAACTTTTGTACCAAACAGAACCAGGAAATGGAAATGAGTGATGTGGACAGGCATTTGGGGGAAGTTTATTAAGCATATAATCACTGAGTACCTGCTTGCATGTAAAGCACTATGCTTCATGCTGCATAAACAATGGTAGGTCAGATTGGTTTCCTGCCTTTCTGGAACATTAATGAGAGAGACCAAACAAAAAAAAAAATCAAGTAATTTATTAAAGATTGCTAAGTGTTATAAAGGAAATGAATGGTACAGAGAGAGAGAATGATAGAGAGGAACCCTCTATATGAATAGTCAGGGAAGGCCTACCTCTCCTAAGAGGTAACATTAAACCTCTCAGAATGAGAAAAAGGCACATATATGAAGAATGGGGGAAGAACAGCAGGCAGAGGAACATCTCTGCAGACTCTGGTGTGTGAAGGGTTTGGCATGTTCAAGACACCAAAAGGTTTTAGGTATAGCATAATGATCAAGGGTATGAGGGGCACAAGTTAGGTTTGTAGACATAGGTGGCTCAGATCATTCAATTCCATCCCAAGTGAAAAGCTATTAGAGGACATTCAGTGGAGGAATGACATGTTTGATTCACATTTTGAGATGGTCCCTGACTGCTGTGTAGAAAATGGCTTGTTAAGGGACAAAAGTGAAAGGAGAGGTCATATTGGAGACTGCTAGCCGTCCAGGTTGGAGATGAGAGTGGCTTGGAGTGGGTGGTGGTTGTAGAAATGGAGAGAAAATATATTTAAGATACAGTTTGGAAAAAAAATCAGTGACCTGTTAAAGGATTGGATATAGGAGTAACAGGAATTAGGGATCGGTTTCTGGTTTGAGCAGCTGAGTTAGATAGCAGACCATTTACTGGAATGAATAAGACTGGAATGGGAATAGGTTTGGGGAGGGAGAAATCGAGAAGTCTGTTTTGGATTAGCATTTCAGATATGTGTGAGATATACAAGTAGAAATTCCAGGTGGTGGTTGTATATATATGGGTTTGAGCTCTGGGTTAGTGATATCTAGAGCTTTGCATTTGGGAGTCATCAAATGAGCAAAAGGTATTTTAAGCTGTGGGGAGAAATAAATGAAATCTCCTGGAGCTGCATTATCCAACACAGTAGCCACTGGCCAAATGTAGGTATTTAAATTTAATTGTAAGTTTTAGGTTCTTATCAGACTGGCCAGATTTCAAGCACACAATAACTATGTGGGAGTTGACTACCATATTGGATAGTGTTGACATAGAACATTTCCATCATTTCAAAAAGTTCTGTTGGACAGTACTGCCTCCAGAGAGTATAGCAAAATATGAAGACCCAGGATAGAGTCCTATGAAACACTGATTCAATATTTAGGGAGTTGGACAGGAGGAAGTGCCTGGAAGAGAGGCTAAAAAAGGTCAGTGAGAGGCTGGCAATATCACCAGTGGACACATTACACAGGCAGCAGTTGAAATAAGGTCGAATGCTTGGACCAGTGCTAAAAGGAGGTAATCATTAAAATCCTAAATGTTAATAAGCTCCCAGAGTGAAGATGATGGGTATCCTAGATGACGTCAGTATCTTAAAATGGGAGAGAGACAGATAACGAATAGGAAGCAGAAACCACAGAAACGGAACCTGGAAGAGAAGAAACAGTTTGGACTTCTGGAGGAGCACCATGGAAGTTGATCAACCCTAGGAACTCTCCCTCAAAGATGGAAATGTTTGTAGGCAGAGTGGTGGGATGGGAAGACAAATTTTAGGAGTGTCACAAAGAATTGCCCACATATGGCAAAGACACAAATTTCGGAGGGATTAAGAAGTAGCACGTAGAAATGGATGGCCCCTATCAAAAAAATTCCTCACTAGTCTTTTCCTTACCAGAGACCCAGAGACAGGCACTTGGAAGTCCTGAGCCTATATCAAAGACTGTAATGTGTGATGAAGGAATCATAACATGGAAGATTTTCCAATTTGTAATAATACTTTCCACACATCTTGAAGTCAGAAGAGGAATGATTAGTACTCATTTCCTAAATTTTGGAGACATATAAAGGAAAAAATTAGAAATATAAGGTACTTTCTGATAAATCCCAACTAGCAATATATTAAAATCAAGAATTGATTATGGTAAATTTTTATCTTCCAAATTTTCCAAAATAGGATTGGAAAGTAAGGAAATATAAAAACAGTGTATAGAGTCATTCACATAATGAAAATTAACTGGCCTGCCCAGAATCTCTGGGGGGAATGAATTATTAAATCCCCCCTATTTTTCAACGCCGAGGTAGCTACAGAGTTGTCTTAGAAGCAACTCTGTTGCAAACCAGTGGTTGCAATTCTGAGCATGTCTTTGTCACGGCCAAATCAGGGTTCTGTACTATTCATCTCTTTGTTAGTTCCCAGCATCCATTCTTCTGTCTGGGAACAGTAACCCAAATATTCTTTGGGAAAGCATCCTTTCTCAGCCACCTGGTTTGGGTCCACCCCCAACTTCATAAGTGGATCCTGGTTAGCCTAGGTGCATCAACACCCTATTACTTTGACCACAGAGCCAATGAGATCTGAGGAGATATTTACCTGGCCTTCTGAAAGAGAGAGGCTTTTCTTTGAGAGCAACCAAAGGAGATATTCTGTCCTCCTGTGGATGGTATATAGGAAGATATGAGGCCTTGAACTGCAACAACACTTTTATTCTGTTAAGAGGGAGGTAGTCTGGAGCTTCCTGGTGTTAGCATGTGGAGCCTGAGGATGAAGTCAGTACCAAAGGAGAGAGTGGCAAAGCAGAGAAAAACTGGGTCCCTGGTGACATTTGAGCCATTAGCCCAAGCCTTACCTGAAATAGACTCACCTCTGGAATTTTCAGTCATGTGAGCCAATAAACATCTTTTGTTAAACTAGTTGGATTTGAGTTCTCTGTCATTTGCAACTTCGTCATACTGATACAGGCTTGTATTTGAAAGCACTGGTTTCTTGTACAGCACCTAGTGTCGCATTTTCTCTTCCTCAGTAGTCACACAAGCTGTTCATTTGTATCTCATCTCAGTTGCTTGGAGTTTGCATGGCTAAATAGGTACCTCTCATACCCTAAACTTAATTTCATGAACACCACCAGACCAATGTTTGGTCATACCTTAGCATACCTTCCAAATTTGAATATAATACTTTCAGTTCCAGATTCCCTAGCGGATAACTTCCTGTCTCTGACATATTTTCTAGCCTCCCCTCCCCTGCTGTATATGAAATTCGGGTTTGCTATGTCCCCTATATTTTACGTCAGATTCTTGTGAAATGACCAGATGTTTTTCATATCCACAAAGGCTTTGTTTTATTGAACAGTGTTCCAAAACTTAGGGAGAGGTAGAGTCTCCTACAGCATATTCTCTGAAATTGAAAGTCATCTCTCTGCTGAATGATTGAGAGGTAAGTGAAAAGTTACTTCCTTACCTTAGCAAAAAGAAAACAAAAAGACTTGCTTTGA